ACTCTGCAGAATATCCCCAGCTCAGGAACACAAGGGCTGCACTGGTGTGGGAAGGGCAGGATATGCTGGCTTTAGCAGTGGGGGGAGAAGAGATCAACAAAAACCCTTTAATTTGGAAATGTGATCGTATGTCAATGAATGGATGCCAGCTCTGTCATGGACTTACAGACGGCATCACAAACTCCTTTTCTTCAACTTATCCTTCCCAAAATCAGAGCAGGGAACCCCACATCCAAGGTCTGAGACCCAGCATTCTGCAGGAAATGATGAGGTCCTTGAGGAAAAGCTGCTATGTGAGCACCAGAATTCCTGCTTGGTGCCTTCCCTGAGTGAGGAGGAGGATGCTCTGCTACACCCATACTTGGGCTTGGAACTCATGGAGGAGGAAAGTCAGAATTTAGAATGTGTCAAATGAGGAAAGACCAATTGCACACTATGAAAGAAAGTATTACAGGAGTTTTAGAAAGAACTACAGTAAGCAAGGAGCTCAAAAGGTGACATGTTCATCAGAGCAGAAATATGGCAAAAGAGTTTGAAAAACACATAAAAAGAAAAATACTACCAGGATTAACCAGAAAGCAGAGAGAGCAGCTCTGTGGGTTGGGCCCTTTTACCATATTTCATTCCACAGCGAATTCGGAAGTCCAGCACTTGATAAATCTTTGCTTCAGGCTGTTTCCTGGGGTCATACCCAAACCTGACCCACAAGCTTCTCCAAGGACCTGTTAACTGCACAAACACACCAGGGAAGATGGTTACGAAAAAGCACCACAGTATTGCACTTTCCTTCAGCACACAAGTCCTTGGAAAGTTCTAACATTTTCCCTCATTGCCCAAAGATATTTATTTTACCAGCTCTTTGCTCACTTGCCATGCCAATATTTATATACTGAAACTTGGCAATCAAAGCATCAAAGCACAAATATTTGTGTGCTTTTACAAACCAACCTTGTAAGGTCATAGCCAAGGTGAACAGTCACTTGGAGTGTCTGCCTGACCTGCAGAGGTGATTGGAACCTATGGAGCAAACAGTCACTGAATCCTCCTTGGCTTCAACTTTGGTTCTAAAGCATTTCCTTCCCTCTGTCTCTTTACATTCAATTAAGCTCAGGTACTTAATTTAAGGACCTCAGAAGGTGGTAAAGGACCAGGAAGAGCCAGGTGATGCTCCCTTGCTCACAGATGTACCACTCACCATGTAATAGGCCAAATATGGCAGCAGCACCTTCAGCTTGTCTGGATGGACACTGATATTGGCTTTCACTGCGTTGCGAGACCACACAGGACGTGTTTCAAAGAGCTGAAATAACACAGAGACAAGCACAGAACAGGGGGATGGCCTTAGCAAAGGCAGAGCAGCTTTCCAAGTGGACTCAGGCCTGTATCAGGGCCTTTGGCACTCAATATGGGCTATTGGATGGTGATGTGAGAAGTCGTGGCACAAAAAGGGGCTTAATGTGAATTGGCCACAGATTCATGCAGGACTGAAATGAACACAGCAGCGTCACTAGCATCTACTCACACTTGTATCAGTCACAGTCACCAAGAATTTCTGGGAAAAAATGTAGTTTTACTCCCCAGCTTGCTGCAGGACAGTGCTCAGATCAGGAGTAAGGCACACACCTTTCTCAGCTCTTCCTCCACCTTTTTATCCACAGGATTGGTACACACTTTCTTCCAGTTCTGTACAGCAGCATCCAGTGGTTTAGTTGGGATTTCTTCATCATCAAAGTTGACAAAGATGGCATTGTGTGGGCGCCGGGCCCTGCTGAGGCCAATCAGGTTCTCACCAGACACCTGGGGATTGTTGTATCCCTCCCTAAGGAACAGGGAAAGACAAAAGGGACTCAGCCAGGTGAGCAATGGGCTGGTTTAACTTCGGCCCAATCTCCCTTGATCGCACACTGGTACCATAAAAGACTCTCATGGCACCAGTGAGGAAAGAAAATTTATATTTAAATAAACCCCAAAGCTTCAAAACTACATCCATTTGCACATTGACAGAGGAGCTCTGCTCTGGGTGGCAGAATACCCTCCAGGCACTTGGGACTGATCTGTTTGAAATGTTTTGGAAAGGCTGAATCCTCTGCATTTGCTCTCCTCGAGCTACTGCAGCTACTCAGTGGGTCAGGGGCAAAGCAAGAGGGAACTGCAGGTAGCAACTCAATCTGGAAATTTCTTTTTCTTTGAAAAGTGCCAGTGAAGGCCAACAATGAGAAAATGAAAGATGTTTCTTGTGGGAGATCTCCCAGGTTGTTCTTCTGGCAAAGCCAATTGTGGCCAGGAGGGCACAGGAACACATGGCATCAATCCTTGGAAACCCTGCCCTTGGCTCCTGCTCTCTGGAAGCAGGCAGGAGCTGTGTCCTGCATCCCATACTGTGTGAGGTGAGCTGGAAGAGGCATCATCTTCATTTCATCTCCAGCTTCCCTCACCTGGCAAATCCTCGAGTGGAATTTTGCTGAGGTTGCCACTGCCAGGCAGTTTCTGGCTGGTTTTTGCCTCTGTTGTGCCAAATCAAGAGGGATAAAACAGCACAAGGCAGCAAATTAAAAGGGTGAAACACATGAAAGATGTATCATGAGAAAAGACACTGACCTGTGCTGTATATCTGGGCGATAAAAATAGTCCACAGGAGTGTCCAGACGTGAGAAAATGGGTGGTGGGATGTAAAGAGGTAAGTCCTTATTGAAAAATTCTTCCTTCTCTGGTTTGAGCATCAGGACTTTGTCATACATGGAGGTCTGCTTGCCATCAGGGCCAGAGTGCATTGCCAGGTACTGGAAGTCAGACATTCCTGTAAGAAACAAAAGTTAAAACACTCTGAAGTTTGTTGTGAATTCAACAGTATTTCTCACACTCAACTTCCAGGAGCAGGAGTCTGACAAGTTTATGCAAAGGTTTATCCAGCAAGGAGGCTGTAACAGCAGCACACTTGATTTTCCTTCCAGCAGGGGGAAACATCCTTTTCCCATCAAACACACTCATCTCTAAGCCACATGCACACAATCCCAAGGGTTACCTTGAAATTTGTAAACAGTGGTGACAATCCCAAGAATCTCCATCTCAAACTGGACTTCTGGCTGGATTTGTTCCTCGGTGTCCAACTGCTGCTTCTTCTTGCTCCTCCTCCTGACCCTGAGCAGCATGGTGGAGGTGGGGAATCGGTTGGCACACACGGGGTGGCAATAGGGGTCCTTGGGGCGGAAATACAGCTCCAGCCTTTTGGCAGGGTCGGCGTAAATCTGTCAGCAAGGGGGGCACAGCCCTTGTCAGCATCCCACCCACACAGCCCTGCGCTCCTGTGCCAGCCCCCAGCTCCACAGGCATCGGCTGTTCCCCTCACACAGCCCCAGGGGGATCATTCCTGCCCCACCAACACCTGCAGCACATCACAGGCATGTGCAGCCACTCCATCCTGGGTATCAGGAAGAAGTAAATTAAAAAGATAGCATCCTGGATATGAGGAAGAAATTCTTCCCTGTGAGGGTGGGGAGGCCCTGGCACAGAGAAGCTGTGGCTGCCTCATCCCTGGAAATGTCCAAGGACGGTTTGGAGCAAGCTGCTCTAGTGGAAGGTGTCCCTGCCCATAGCAAGAGGGTGGAATCGAATTAACTTTATGGTCCCTTTCAACCCAAACCATTCTATGACTCCATGATTTTACCCCACACCGCCTGAATCCCTGCTCGGGGACAGCAGGGAAGCGGCATCACCCCCAAACCACACACGGGCCCTGCGTGGGGACGTGCTGGGCTGGAACGACTCACACAGAGGGTCCCACGTGTGGGCTCGCCCCGGCCCTGGCCCCCATCCCCTTGCCCAGTACCAGGGCGAGCCTCGCCGCCCCTTCTCCGGACCCACTCACCCGCGACACCCCCTGCTCTCCTCCCAGCGTGCGCAGCATGGCCCCGACATCGCGGACGAGCCCCGGGTACTCCACGCACACCAAGCGCGGAGTGCGGGGCAGCTCCAGCACGGCCGAGCCCCGCGGGCCCCGCTGCCGCGCCGCCGCCATGGGTGCCGCGCCGCTCCGTCCCGGCACCGCCCCGCGCTCCGAGGCACGAAGGTTCCGCCTCACGACNCACAGGAACACATGGCATCAATCCTTGGAAACCCTGCCCTTGGCTCCTGCTCTCTGGAAGCAGGCAGGAGGATTGTTCTCCTGCAGGGTCTCTCTGACCCTGGCTCACCCCAGGGGTGGGCTCCCCATCCTCCAGCCTCTCTGCATGGAGAACCTTGACACACACACCAGGGTCCCACCCTGTGACCCCCCGTGCTCTCCTCCCACCTTCCACAGCACAGCCTCCATGTCCCACACCAACCCTGGCTTCTGCACATCAGCCAGGCCTGTGGGGCAGCTCCAGCTTGGCTGAGCCCCCCCTGCTCTCCCCACAAGGTACCAGGGCCTGGACAGGCCAGGTCTAGTGTGTGGTATGTGGATGGGGACATGTGGTGGACAAGGTTTGTGGAAAGTTGTGCTCCTTTTCCTGCCCTACTCAGAGCTGCAGCTCCTCAGCCCAATCCATCCCAACCTCTGCCTTAAAACCAGTGGGAATCACCACCCCCATGGATTTATTCTGCCCTATCAGTTCCTAAGCAATGTCAGAGCATGATAAAGAACAGGTCAGGACTGGCTTGCATTCACCTGTTGCAACTGTAAATCTCTAGGATCTGGTTGGCAGTACCAGGAACCTTGATGGTAACACAGGGAAATCCAGAGGACAAGTCAGGATTGGGTTCTCCTGCCTGGGCTCACAGGGGCAATGAGGGAAAGCAATCCCAGGGCCAACATCTGGCTGACCAGGGAGAGACTGGATCCCAGCTGCCAGCAACTTCCCTGGAACATCGGGGTGTCAAAGCCAGGGGAACACACACTGCCCACACAATGGATGTCCTTTCCTACCTCACTTTAATGTTGACAAGACAACCTTGTCATGGCAAACAAAATGAGAACCAGAACCACTCAGTTACATGCAAGCCTTTATTGAATTATCTTCAAAAGTTTCAGAACAGTAACTCCGCCTGGGAGATGTTGGCAACCTGTGGCATCTGCAGATAGACCGAGTTCCAGAAATTCACATACTCAGACCTCAGGTCCTGCTTCACAGAGCTCTTGCTCATCTTGTTGTTGATATCCAGGTAGTATTTGCCCTCGCTGGTGTAGGCTGGCCAGGAAACGGGCACTTCTGAATTGCCTTTGTTGGGATCACTGGGGGAAAAGGAGACACAGAAGCTCAGTTTTATCAGGGCAGCTTGGCGATGCAGTTTAACTCTGTGACCGTTCAGAGTGTTTGACACTGGGACAGTAGGAATTCTGCCTGCCAGGAGTGAGTTGATGACCTGTGGTCTCCTCCCTCCATCCCCACTGGCATCATCTCTGTCTCCACTCAGGGACTTAGTTCCTGCCTGAAGACCAGGATTCAGGAGTAAACCTCATCAAGTGGAAGCAGAGATCGTAAGTCATGAAAATGCCTCTGCCTTCCCCAAGTGTGGTATGGATGAGAAGAATCCAGAACAAACTCCAGCCCTGTGAGATACAGAGCCCTGCTCACAACACAGAGAACTTCTGGGAATGATCCTGAAAAGTTACTGGGCAAAACCAGCAGCCTGAAGGGCTGCATCAAGCCCCAAAGGTGGAATGGAAATCACTCACCCAGTGCTGGCAAAATTGGTCCAGTAAGCAATCATGGCCTTTGAGACAGTCCTGTGCTTGGTCTTGTAGCCCAAGGGGGTGGCAAAGGGCTTCCCAAACACGTACTGCAGATCATCAGCGTGGTCTGCCCCGACCCAGCTGGGGTACACGGGCATGCGGGACGGCTGGGAGAACACGTAGCTGTAGGTCTTGCCACTCCTGGGAAATAAAAGAGCCTGGCTCAGCAGCTGTGAGGGGACAGCAGAGCCCTCTTAACCCACTCCTCAGCCCCCCCAGGTTGGCTTTGGGCTCCTGCCAGGGCCGAGCTGCTCACTTGGCATTCTGCACGTGCAGGTCCAGTGCCTTCTGTGTGGGGATCAGGAAGATGTAGTCAGTCATCAGCTCCACCACTGTCTTCTTCACCACCTCCTGCGTGGGTTTGTCACCCCAGCTCTGTGTGTAGATGTTGTAGGTGGCGTTGGCTCCAGCCTCGCCCCTGTCCACGGTGAGGCCTTTGACCAATTTGTACACCTCGTC